GATACCAGCCTTTAGACTCACACTGTAAAACTACTCTTCTACCAACTTTGTCAATACCCACTATGAAATGTGAGGACACCGCACCTGATGATGGGAATGAGAAGAAATCTTACTCTTTCAGTATCTGTAATTCTTCCACAATATTACATTTATTGGAAAATTAAGTGACATTTTGTGTGTAAATGTGTTTATTTAAATAAATGTAATTGTTACAATTTTTGTGACCAAGGAGAGATACATCTTCCTAAAAAAACATGAATGAAAGTAAAGAAGGTAGTATGGACAATTCAGATATCATCACTTACCAACAACAAGCTCAACAAAGGATTCTCTCTCCCATCCTGGAATGTAGCATCTATACTTTCCCTCATCAGAAGGTTTCACTTTAGAGAGGTTTAAAGAAATATCTCCAGACTTCAGTCTCTCGCTGCTGAGTGACGTTCTTCCCTTGTAGGATGGATGCAGCATATCCAACAGGTCCTGACCAGAATGCCACACATGGACAAATCTGGGGTTCAGGTCACTTTTCGTCCATTCAAACGCCATGGTGACAGCATCCTTGCCAGGTTCTAGGCGGCATGGCAATATGACGTTATCGCCAACTGTTGTAACTACTGGCTGAAGTGGACCAATCAGCTGAGTCTGGCCTGAAGAATGAACAGACATGTTTTACAAAATACACAGAAAACTCATCATAAAAGAACAATAGCACTTAGGGAACTTCATGAAACACAGCATAATCATAAAACAATGTAGCAAAAGTAAATGAAGTAAAATAAAAAACAATATCAAGATATCATATATACCAAGACAGAGTAATAAATTGCAGTTTTCAAAGTGTCAGCTCAACCGTGCCAACAACCTATTTATGCAGATAAGAGTAAAAGAGATTGATAGATTATTATACTATTTATGGATAAAACAATACATTTTGCTACAGATTTGCCTTAAAAAGAAAAATGTAACCTAGAAACTCATAAAAAATGTGCATACATATGTATGTTTGTATGGTTGCTTATTAATGATGCCTCTCCAAGTCTTTTTTCTGGGCACATGGCTGCTGTTATCTAAGGATAGCAATTCTACAACACATGACCATTTACCATTTATTTAAGACTTTACCTCCACAAGAGTCTGTTAGTAGAAGTAAAACCGTCACAGCACTGAAGACACCGTACTGAGTCGAGATCAGGTGAATCATGGTGGAGTTTAGATCTGAAAATGCACGCAAACCAGTTGTAAGAACGTATAGGCCATGCAGATCAAATGCAATAAGAATGCATCCAACGTGATGGCATTTGTGAAAAACACAAATCATATTGCACATTCGGATAACTTAAGTACTGAGATTTATGGCAGTACCAAACAACACTATCAGGTCTCTGAATAAGTAATTAGCATACGTATTGAAAATGGTCAAAAGACCTCCATTCGTAGACAGCTAAAAATGGGCCTGTATTGGAAACTGTGTGAAACAGATTTATAACAGTTTGTTCCATTATTGTTTTAAACACAAAACAATGTCGCTGAAGCAATAAAATTATGTTCAAGCAATGAAAGACGAAAAGTAAAAGAAAGGTTAAAAAAACATTCTGATTTGTGTTAAAAACAGTAATTCTAATAGTAAATTAATTTTAATTGAAAAGTTACCGTGCAATCAGTCATTATATATAAGAAATTATTTGAATTAATTCAGAAAAGCGGACATACCTGTTTCATGCCGCTGGCAGTATCCCTGTCAAAGATATATTATCTGATCCATGACCTCCAATAAAACTGTAGACTTTACCCTCTGTGGTAAATGACTAACACATTTTTGTTTATATGTTAGGTCAATGTGCTTGTGCATATCCAAATTATTTATTCATTTATGATGAAGGGGTAGAGTAGGAGTTGATATTGATATCGGATCAATAAGTTATGGGTTGTGTGTGTGTGTGTG